GAAAACCATCTTTCTTTAGTTCTGACAATTAATTTTATGCTGTTGTCTTTCGTTCCGACAACTTCCAACTGTACATTTCTGCCCTAAAGAGAATCTGACTCATGTTTCTTTGCTTTGGCCGCCACCACTGCAAGAAGTCACTACTGCTTTTCTTTCTAGCTTTCTCTATTGGGAAAAATCTCGCACCCCTTCCTTTTAACACTGTAGAGTTCTATTATTTCCTTTACCAATTATCCTGTTGAGTGCTTCCATTTCATCATTAGAGACCAGACAGCTCAGCCAAAGAAATAACGAAAACCTGCAGTTTAACAAGACAATTAAACCTTTCCTCTTAGGAACTTTATTTTTCCTGCAATCAGCCCAAAGTAGCACAAGAGTTAAAATCTATTTTCTTTGATATTACCTTCGAGACAAATAGTACCTTATCCAAACAGTCCGCATCTGGAGAACAACAAGAGTGGACCCCTCCTTTTTGGTTTGGTAGCAAACCCAAGACAGATAAAGTATTGCTGTGCGCCTTTCACCTGTCAATAAAAAAAGAAAACCAGTCCAATCCTTGAAGAGAATGTGATCTCCACAGCAGTGAAACACAAGGAGATAAAGGGCGTGTATTTGGCGTGTATTTTGTTCGAGTAAAGTTCCTAATCATACCACAAGTAACTCTGCTTTGGGAGTTGTCACTTTTAGGTTCTTATGGCGTTGCCCTTAAAATAATACTTTCTTTTTGGAAAAAGGCCCAATTCTGTCTTTCTTGATCATTTTGTGCATGTGCATGTGATAGACCCTTTGCACAACTATGTCACATGACCTTGTTAATCATTAAAGATGGCTGAGGTCAAATTCGGTACCAGGATGGAAAATGCCAATTTTAAAGCAAAGGACATCTGAGTGAGAGATTTAAGAATAGTTCGAAAACTTAATGTATGTATATAACGTGTATGTACATAGGCAGATGTACATAACCCAGAGCATATGAAGTCTTACTAGCGTCACACATAACTGTAGTGTCAAGGGAATTACCTCTTCATTATGCGTTTCATAACTGATAGTAGGTGTTGTTAGGTGTTATAAAGATTTAGATAGTACGTATTTAAAAAGTGGGACATAATTCACTAAAGGTTGTTAGTTGTGTAATTGTAACCAGTGCACCCAGTACTTTACACTGGCGATGAAGATGATTTTCAGTTGAGACATTTGGATGGTTTTAAATTGGGACAAATTCACAGATGCCTTGAAGGCGACACGGCGAATGCAAGCAACAAAGTGGGATCTGGTGGTGTTGATGCGATGATGCTTTTGGTGGACGTTGGGTCATTGATGGCGTTCGACCCAAAACGCAATCTGAATGGTATCAGCCAACGATGGAAGCAATGGAAACGGTCTTTTGCATCGTATCTGACAGGAAAAGGGGTTACAGATGACAAGCAGAAGAGAGCTCTTCTCTTACACGCTGCGGGAGTCGATGTGCAAATCTATTTTACAATGGTCAGCGAAGAAGAGATTTTCTCTTTCACCACCACGATGAAGGCGCTTGATGACTACTTTGTTCGAAAGTCAACTGTACCATTTGAAAGGCACTGTTTCAAGCAGATTGCACAAGCTAGTGATGAGACAGTGGACCAATTTGTGTGTAGACTTCAGCAGCGGGCTGGGACCTGTGATTTCGGGGTCCTGTAGGATGATTACATTTGTCATCAAGTTATTGATAAGTGCTACTTAAGTCATTTAGGTCTCAAGTTTTTAGGGCAGGAAACTGTTACCCTAGATTGTTTATTGGGCACAGGAAGCCGTTAGCTGCCATTTAAAAGAAATGGAGGAAAATTTTCAGCCAGAGTCACGTGAACGCTGTTGGCAGGAAAAATTTCAGCAGTGTGTGGAAAGCGTGAGGAAAGAGGAGCAAACGTGGGTGGAGCGAGGAACGCGGGCGTTGTGAGAGGAGGTAAAAGGCCAAAAAAATGTTTTGGTTGTGAAAGGGACGGACATTTTGCAAGAGATAAGAGTTGCCCAGCACGTGATCAAGCTTGTAGGAAGTGCGGGAAAATAGGACATTTCCAGATTACATGTATGCAAGGTCACCGAAATGGAGGGAAGAGGTTCAAGAAGGTAAAGAGTGGCAGTGGCAGAGGAAGTAACAGGAGCAGACCAGATGTAGTAAATGAAGCAAATTCTGTGGGAAGTGAGACGTTCTCAGCCAGACAGTCCTAATTTCACATTCAAAATTGGCCAAACCTGTGGCAATCTGACCTCAGATAATGGTGAGGTTACTCTCAATGTAGGGGAAGTAGACTTGCCTAATGCACTGTTGACTCTGGAACTACGTGTAATTTGATGGGCTAGCAAACCTGGAATTGATTGAAAGCTAATGGAATCCAGTACGAATCACGCCTTGCAACTAAGGTGTTGTTTGCCTATGGTGCTACTGAACCATTGTCGACTCTGGAAACGTGGTTGTCAAGGGTGAAGGGCACACTCTGCTTGGACGAGAGACTGCGGAGACACTCACTTTATTGCATGTCCGTCCCCTTCCGGGGAACAGTGTCGTGAGTGAGCATTCTGAGGATGATATTCGATGGACGTATTGAGATTTGTTTACAGGGATTGGTCTTCTCAAAGGTTATGAGCTTAAACTCCATGTAGATGATACCGTGAAGCTCCTTGCTCAGCCAGTGTTAAGGATACCATTTGGTCTGTGCGAGAAAGTGGATAAGAAACTGGACAAGTTGCTACAAGCAGATATTATTGAAGAGGTGCCAGAAGGTCCGACTGGCTGGATTCTCCTTTGGTTGTTGTACCTTAGTGTGATGGTGAAGTCAGGATTTGTGTAGATGTGCGGCATACACATGAAGCGATTATCAGAGAGAGACATCCTATTCCGACTGTAGAGGAACTTTTGCACAATTTAAACAGAAGGGCAGTTTTTAGCAAGGTTGATTTGAAGTGGGGTTTCCACCAAATTCTCCTTAGTCAGGAGAGCCGACACATTACGACATTTGTGACTCATCGTGGCAAGTGCCAGTACAAGTGGCTTATGTTTGGCATGACTTCTGCCCCAGGGAAGTACTAGCAAATTGTTTGAGATGTGCTTGAAGGTTGTGAGGGCGTGGCAAATACAACTGCTGATTTAATTGTCCATAGGAACAGTGTCGAAGAGCATGACAGGAGGCTATTTGCGGTGTTGGATAACCTCAAATGTGTCGGGTTGATGCTTATAGTGGCAAGTGTGAATTCTGCCTATTAGACTAAGAGGAGATTTCCAGAAGTGGCCTAAAAAATGAAAAACGTAGCACACCCTCTACATATTTGGTCTGACATCACAAAATGATAGGGTAATACTCATAGAACATTTTTAGGTATGATGTACTGATGTACGGGTGGGACGTCATTGTGCTTGGGGCTCATTTGTGACTGCTGGTAAGGTCCCTGTGATTTAAGCATATTTTTAGTATCACTATTTTATACAAGTTCAACTCGACATTACTCCCCTCAAGTTAAGCCTAGACAGTTTTAAATTAGTTCAAGCATTACTGGTCTGTGAATATCTTTTATTTTAATGTGTAAAACTTCTTAACCAAATCTCCATGGTAACCGTTGCTATGGTAATTTTTAATTAAGGCTATTTAAGCGATAATTAGCATTACAATGCAGATTCTTTTGAATAATGACCAGACTTATCACTTCTTTATCCATCAACTTAAGTTAATCAAACAAAACAGTATTTGTGACATCAAAATATTATTTTTCAAAACTCGGCATCTACCCAGTAATTATATCTCTACCACTTTATGTATCAAATTCCCTTAGCGAGAGATTCAATTGAAAATGTTTGTCTGAATCAATATAGATTCTAAGCAAAAACTACCTCTAATTGCCTGATGCAAGGGTCTTGTTTACTTTATAATAACGTTTGCGATTCTTACTAAATTGAACACTTCCCAGAGTGCAAAGGGAGTAAGGCTCCCATAATGCAATTGGTACTTACAGACTGTTTAGTTCAGCCAATTGGATTTTGGTTGGACGCTGTTTTCTTTCACAGCTAAGGTTTTGACTTTAAAAACACACTCAGTCTCAGTTTAGGAGTAGTTTTATGTTGTTAAGAGCAATTTATCTGAAGATGTGCACAAATCAGAGAGCAAATTTCCATTTTTATGTTGAAAATTACGAATATTTAAACGTGTGGCTAGCGAAGGACTGACCATGTGCAAAGGTTTTGGTTTGTAAGCACATCCCTTTCCATTATTTATAAGTAATACTGTTTTGTTAAGGAAATCTATCTAGTTACGTACAAATTATTGACAATGAAACACGTTCTGTAAAAGTTTTTATCAGTAATTTTGCTTTGCTTAGAACAATTTATCTGAAACTATACACAAATATATAGAGGAAATCTCCAATTTTATCTTGAAAAGTGCATATATTCAAACATATCGCCAGGAAACAACTAACTACGTAGGACATGTTTTCTTTTTTGAATTCAGAAGTTAATCACTGCTAATTTTAGGAAAGCAGGTTTCCTGATCAGAGGAAAGAATCTATGATTCCTTTTTACTTTTTCTTAAGATGATTGGTAATGGCTAGTTGTACTGAAAGCAGTGAGGAAGAAAGCGAAGTGAGGCTTCTGCCTCCAAAAAAGAAGCCCAAGTCAGATAGAGACTTAACAAAATGTATTATTTGTCGAGAAAAAAGCAGTGAAAGACTAAGAAGTCCTACCGAAGCTGGATTGAGATCGTTTAAAGAAAGCTGTAGAGGTTAGGAAAGATGAAACTTACCACAGGATTTTGTCGACTTTTGAAAATTTAGACGTTCTAGATGTTGTCTGGCACGGCAAGTGTTTTCAAAGTTATACAAGCAAGAGAAATCTTAGCTTTATTAAACCATTACCTTTTGCTGAAAGTCAAGAAAGGCACGTTGACAGACCAAGTTCGAGATCGCAAGTTAATGAAGTGGATTGGTCCCTTTGTCTATTTTGTCAGCAGAAAAAGTCAAAGGGGACAACAAAACTTATGAACTTTTCAACATTTGATTCATGCAAGGCTATAGAGGAGGCTGCAAGAAGAAGGAGTGATGAGAGCATGCTGTTGAAGTTTTCAGGAGTTTATTTGATTGCTGCGGAGGCCAGGTATCATAAACACTGCCGCTCCCAATATGTAAGTAAATCCAACCTAATGTTTGTTGACTTTCGAGTTGATGGGGAGGAAGATGTTTACACCCAAGCGTTCCAAAACCTGAGAGAGGAGATCAAACCTCAGTTAGAATCAGGAGTGGCCCTTGATATGAAAACCCTCTTGGACTCTTACCTGGGAGTGTTGCAACACCTTGGCTGCAACACAGCAAAAAGTTACAAGTCAGAGAGGTTAAAACGCAGACTGCAACAAAGTTTTCAAGAGGAAATTGTCTTTCAGAAGCTACCGGATCCCTGGAAGCCGGAGTTGGTTTACTCTAGCTCTATATCTTTGCAGGATGTCATCAATTCAGCCGCTAAGAAAAGTTGCCATTTGGCTAAAATGTCAGCGTCTTCTGAAGATGAATCCTCAAACAGCCAGGGTCAGAATGATGTCAATTCCATACTATACCACGCCGCTCAAATACTGAGGTCAAGCATACGGTGTGAAATCAAAAGTATAGGGATCCAACCTGTTGATGTGGAGGACATCAGTGCCTGTAACGTAAAGAGTTTAATGCCTAAAGATCTTTACAATTTTTTGTGCTTGATGATCTAGAATCCAGATAAAGTTGATGTATCTGCTCCGACTGCTTCCAATGCCGCAGATGAGCGACATACTTTAGCAATTGCACAAGATCTAATATATGCAGCAACTCATGGTCGCTTGAAGACCCCTAAGCACATTGGTTTGGCGATGTCCGTTCGCCATATGACAGGTTCAAAACACCTGGTAACGATGTTAAACAGATTCGGTCACTGCTGTTCTTATGATGACATAGAAGTAGTTGACACTAGCCTAGCATTAGACATTATAGCCAGCTCAGAAAATCTGGGTGCTGTTGTTCCATCTAACATTTCACCAGGAGTGTTTGTTCAAGTCGCGGGAGACAATAACGATATCAATGAGAAGACACTAGACGGCAAGCAAACTACTCATGCCACTACACTTGTCCTGTACCAAAGAAAGCAACAAGGGCCAAAACCGAAACCTGCAGTTCGTCCTGCTCATTCAGAAAAACGACGGTCTCTTAACATCTCAGATGCAAATCCACCCCTGTTGGAGTTTGGTGCTTGTGGCAAGCGGCCTGCCGTAACCTTTTACAGAGACAAAATAGAAGAGTGGTTTCAGTCCTCAAGCTCGCTCTGTACCACTGCAATTCAGATGGATTTTGGTTGGTTTTTAACAAGTCTGTGTACCCACCAGTTGTTTAGTGAAAATCTACATAACCGCGACGGCGTTTTTCAGCCGTTGCCAAGTTGGAGTGGGTTTAACGCAAAGATAGCAAGTGAGCCGCCACCCTAGACCTCCGTTGGTTACTGTCCAATGATCAATGGTTCACCTACTGAATACAGTACAGTTTACACTGCCATGAAGAACGTCCAAGCAATGATGGATGTACTACACCAGAAGCACAGTGTAATTACGTTTGACCTGGCAATCTACATGAAGGCCAAAGAGATTCAGTGGCGACAGCTTGAAGAATTTAAGAACACAGTGGTCCGAATGGGAGGTTTTCATATAGCATTAAACTTCCTCTCAGTTATTGGAAAGATTTTCCAGGACAGTGGCATTGAAGACCTGCTAATAGAATCTGGTGTGTATGGATGCCACACGGCATCTATGCTATTGAAGGGAAAGTCATACAACAGAGGTGTGCGTGCACATAAGCTTGTTCTCGATGCACTACTGAGACTGCAGTGGCAAGCATTTGGAGCTTGGATGGAAGCTGAGAACGTCGAGCTCCCAACAGTATATCAGCGCCAGTGTTTATCTTTAATAAACTGTTGTCAAAGAGAAAGTAATAATGTAGCCTCTCTGAAGACCTCATTCGGTCTTCTCTGCTACGAACTCCCACAACTTCAACAAATTTTCGCGAGATTCTGCACAGAAGCTAGTCAGCAGTCTAAACTATTCCACTTCTGGAATATGTGTATTGACATTGTTCTATTGCTGTTGCGATTCATTTGAGCTGAACGAGAAGGATCATGGAAACTTCATTTGAAAGCCGTTGCAGAAATGGTACCGTACTTCTTTTCAATGGATCGCATCAACTATTCCAGGTATGTGGGCAATCGATTTATTCTGATTATTTTTTTTCATATCTTTCAGATTGACTGCAAATTGTGCATCAGTACTAAAGAACAGTAGCCTAATTGATCTTTAAAAGAGTCATCGCTACGAGGATTAGAGGTCTTATATGATAAGGATTTGCAATATGATAAGGATTTGTAAGGATTTACTCCCCTTTGCTTCGAAATGATGCGTTTTGTTTAAGACTGAATTATAATATATCGAACTTATTACGGGATTTATTCTTTATCCCAAGTGGAGAACGCGTTTGTTCAAACGCATGAAGAGATCTACACATTATCATAGGACGTTACCTTATTATGCGGTTAGCTTTAACTTTCTCACTTACCCGGCCCCTTCTTACCTTTCTCTTATTTTGACCTCTTCCTCCAATAAATTGCAGGTGGCTCCCAATCTACTTGGCTGATATGCAGCTGCTTCCCACTCACGCTCCAGAAGTTTACGAAGAATTCCTAAATGGCAACCACCCAGTGAGTTGATCAAGTCAACCCTTTAGCCAAGTTTGGACTGACATGGCCTTGGAACAAACCATCAATCTCGACAGTAAGACTAGAGGGGGTATTGTTGGCTTGACACAAAATGCTTCGGCACTAGACAGATGGTTTATAACAAGTCACAAGAGAGCTGAGCTAACTGCTGCAACCAAGCGACTTTGCAACCTTGAAGACTCTGACAAGATTGGGACTCACAAGGAGGCAGGTTCCCAAAGAGTAAAGAGGGATGAAAACGACGTTCAGCGGCTGATTAACACCATTACTGATACCATGTCAAACCCTTTTGATTTGAGTGAGGCATCGAAGGAAGACCCAGTTCAATTACGAAACATCGCCACTGGACTCGTTATGCCGCATGACGCGGCAGAGCAGCTCGTTGACTTTTTCAGCACAGGAACAGAAGAAGCAAAGAAATTTAGGAGACAAAGAATGGACACTGATGACGTATCCTTTTGGAGCAAGATATCGAAATTGAATTTGAAAACATTTGCTTCTCTGGCAAAAACAAATCAAATCAAGTGCGCAGACGAGAAGATCATCGCTATTTCAGCTGATAGAAATTTGTTTGGAAGACTTCTAATTGCTGCAAAGTGTCGTGACATTGATGTGAAAGAGGTCCTGAAATATGAACTGTCCACCGTGCCCTTTGCATTGGCACATGCAGATGGTGTTTTGCGGAAAACTACAAAAAGTGTCCTAATGGCTGAGGTTGAACGGGAATGTCAAGCACAAGGAAGACTTCCTGAAAGTGCACTATCAACCACATTCATTTTTGATGCAATGGCTCTTGTCCAGACGTTGAAGTCTGCAGGCTCCCGCACATTCGGAGACCTGGCTGAAAGATACTTTAATGTGCTCTTCACACCTCTACGACAAGGTCAGTGCAGAAGAGTAGATGTTGTCTTTGACCGCTATGATGTTCAAGAGTCCATAAAGGAAAGTGAAAGAGTTAGGAAAGGTTTAAGCAGAGCTCTTGAGATCCAAATCACAGCAAGCATACACCAGTTCCAAAGCCATGGGGGAAGTTTATCAGCCACCAGAATAACAAGGTTAACCTTTCCAGATTTTTTTGCCGAGAGTGGTGCAGTCTGGGTGAATACAACTTACTTCCTGATCAAGAGCTGGTAATTGGAGGTGGCTTTGAAGATCCAACAGATGCAGTTGTTGTAACCCGTGGACGTACGGATCCCCTTGCAGAGCTGAGATCAGACCATGAAGAAGCCGACACAAGGATGATCCTTCATGCGTGGCACGCCTCTTCCACTAAAGAGAGGATTGTCATTCAGTCCCCTGATACAGACGTTGCTGTATTAGCTATCTATGCATACCAGATGATACAGTGCAACAAAATGTGGTTCAAGACAGGCGTCAAAGATAAGGTTCGCTTCGTCCCTGTTCATCGTATTGCTGAGAAACTTGGTAGGAGTGTTTGCGCAGCGATTCCAGCATTCCATGCTCTAACTGGTTGTGATTCTACTTGTGGGTTGTTTCAGATCGGGAAAAAGAAAAGATGGAAGGTATTTGTCAAATATCCCAGTCTCCATGACAGTGTTGGCAACCTTGGCAGTCAGATTCCACCACTAGCGCTCACTGTTGAAGCCTGTGAGAGGTTTATTTGCTCCCTTTATACAACCCACAAGAAGGCAGGGGTAACAGCTGACGACGTACGCTATTGGATGTTCTGCCAAAAGCACCAAAGAAGTGAAAGTTTACCACCCACAAGCAACAGGTTGCGACACCACATTGAACGTGCTAACTACCAGGCATATGTGTGGAAACACTGCTTGAATGCAACACAGCAACTCCCGTCGCCAGTCAGCAACGGATGGAAGAAAGTGGATGGTGTTTTGGAACCACTTTTGATGTCCAAGGATCCAGCACCACAAGGGCTGCTTGAACTGACGACTTGCAAATGTAACAAATCTGTCTGCAGAAGGGATGACTCGTGTCCTTGCAAAGCCCACGAGATGCCCTGTACAGAGGCATGCCTTTGTATGAATGATGAAAGTTGCCAAAATCCTCACAAGCCAGTTGATGTAACACCTGGAAGCAGTGAAGACGAGCTAACAGATGCTGACGTTTAGCCTCTAGTACTCTAGTAACAGCAATACACATTCAAGTTTCGGTATTTAAACTATGGCGTTCACTATCCCCCAAAATTCAATTTCTGAATTTTGATCCTAATTGTAGCATTCCATATTGCAGTTTTAAAGTTTATACTTAAATTATGCAATGGAAAGTTCAAGTCCTCAATTTGTTCATTCCTCTCGTCGATTTGAAAACTAACTTCAAAACCAAAGCTAGTGCCATTTTGGTGTCAAAATCTGTTTTCAGATTTCACCTATAAAATGTCTTATTGGCAGTTGTTACCGTGAAAACATTGTTCAGATTTTGTCAAGATAGTGAAAGATTATTGCGAGCAAAAAGAGAAAATAAAGGAACAAGTTTTGACCATAATCACTGTAGTAAACAGCAGTTGTTAAGGGAAAGATGAGTTATTTTGAAAATTGAATAACTTTAAATTCAAAAGTATTGTTTTGTTTGATTAAGTTAGGATGATGGATAAAGAAGTGATAAGTTTGGTCGTTATTCTAAAAAATCTAATGCTAATTATTGCTTAAATACCCTTAATTAAAAATGACCATAGCAACGGTTACCATGGAAACCCGTTAAGTTGTTTCACACATAAAGATAAAATATATTCACACCAGTAATGCTTGAGCCAATTTGAAATTGTCTAGGCTTAACTTTAGGGGAGTAATGTCGAATTGAACATGTGTAAAATAATGATACTAAAAATATGCTTAAATCACAGGGACCTTACCAGCAGTCACAAATGAGCCCCCAGCACAACGACGTCCCACCCGTACATCAGTACATCATACCTAAAAATGTTCTATGGGTATTGCCCTACCATTTTGTGATGTCAGACCAAATATGTAGAGGGTGTGCTACGTCTCGATTTTTTCAGAGTTCTACCTCCTAGACTATATCAAGGCTTACCTTTTTCAGGCACGAACTGACTAGTTATGGTGTTAACCCAACCAAAAGATTGTAGCTATCCGAGAGGCGAGAGCTCCAAAGGACGTCAGTGAGGACAGGTCGTTTATGGGACGAGTGCAATACTCTGCAAAGTTCATGCCTGCCAGATGTAGGATCATTAGCGCGATTTATATAGGACCTCACGAGGAAAGGTGTTAACTGTGTAATGGGGGGAGGCAGAACAGCAAACTGCTTTCGAGAGGCTTAAGCAAACAATCATGCACGTGGACATGTTGGCATGCTACAAGATCGGTTCCAGGACAAGAATCATTGCAGATGCTTCACCAAATTTGTGCATAATGTCAGCTGCTTTCGATTTCTCATAAGGGGCAAACAAAGTTAAACAAGGTACCAGTAATTGCCAATGGGGCATCTAGTTGGTAATTTACATTGGCTTTTGATGTCATTGATTTTGACCGTAACATTGCTCTCTCTCAGAAACTTTTTGACGGGTATCCTGTCAGGAGACTACAATCCTCTTGAATGGAGACAAGGAAAAAGCAAGAATATATGATTCTTGCGTCTCCAGACGCCCTTCAGTATATGTTGTCCGAGGAAAACGACAATGATACGCAACCAAGCAGTGGCCCAAAACCGAGGAAAACAAGGAAACTACACTGGGAAAGAAGTAAACTGAGGAACATCAAGGCCAAACTGGATGAAACATATTCAAACCGCTTAACTGAAAAGCAATGACGAGTTGGTGCTACTGTGCCCCGTGGTGAAAGATCTACACGGCCATGTCCGATTAACGGCCCTAGCTGGGTAGTTGGAAAAGAAAGGCCATAATCTTGTGATGTAGAGACTATAATTTTGCTTTTGTTTCAAGAGAACTTTCTTATGAATCTAATTTTTCAAGCATGTCGCGATCATAATCGTTTTGTTGGTTTATTTATAGAAAAAAGAGCACAATTGCAATAATTCTGCAAATATATGATATATTTTGTTATGCGACGTATTGTTATTGCTTCAGAGGGGTGTATCCAATTTTTTAATCTAGAGAGCAAATATCTACGATCTAGCTAGCAAACAGGGTATCCTAACTTAATTGCCAATAAATATACCAGTACTACAGAGTACTGTGCATGTAGTACTTACAACGATATCGATAGCCACACTGTGCAAAGTATAAGTAGATAAAAATATTGATGTGAACTGATCTGCTGGATTATTCATGTGTCGTAATTTATAAATGCTAAGGGACTTAAATTATGAATGCAAACACGTGATAGTGCTCCTGAGCCAGGATTCCGGAGACCTTTATTTGGCAACTGGTCAGAATTCATCCCTTAACTGTAAAAAAAACCAAATAGACAAGAATGATTTAAAATTACGGAAACACGAGATTACCAGCCAATAGCTATCCTGATTATGGAACGGAAACAGAAGATGTTGATGCTTCCGGAAACGTTTTCTCATGTTTCCGCAAGTTGTGCTATTAAGTCCGTCAATGGAAGTAAGTGTTTCTACGAACAGACACTTGACAAAAACATGTAAGTGGTACAGTTCCACTGTGAAACAATGTGACAAACACCAGAAATCGTCACATATCTACTAGCGGAAACACATGTCAGCCATTACATTTCGACAACCGTTAACCGCACTTCTGCTACGTTTCAGTTTGCAGATTTGTGGTTTCTCGTCCTGTGTTAAATGTTGGAATTTGTAATACCAATGTGATCACAAACATGTTATGCTTTCAGAGAGGAGATAGAAAAATAACTCTAGATTCTGAGATCAAGACGTTTAACCTCCTGCCCTTTGAAGCAAAGTTTATTGATTGACTGACACAATGTGTTTTGTTGCAGAATGTGTTGCCGTCTTTAGGGAGACTGGTAACAAGTATGGCAGTCAAATCTACGAGCATGCCATAAAAGGAGTTGTAGTCGGTCTAATTCCTTTGAAATTGCATCCCAAATGCTTTGGGAAGAAAGAAAACTTAGTTAAGAAAAAAAAGAACAATCATTAATAACATATTAAGTTATTTATGTCTTAAGAATGATCTACCAGGTCCGTAAGAAGCAATGTTCGAACTTTAATTGTCCAACCCCCCTCACCTCTGTAATTTCCTGGGCCTCTAACCCACCCGGGAATTTCCCATTCCCTCCACGGTGGGGGTTTGGATATTTTCTGGAACCATACATAGTATGTTTAATATAATTTATTGAAAATTGAAGTTGGGGACATGTAGTTTCCATTAAATTTAAACTATAAACAGTTGATGTGACTCATGTGGGGTGTATTGTCTGTTTAATTCAATTTGTGCCAACTGCAATAATTTAAAATTTGTAACATCCCATGTTCGCATGTTCAAGACTGTGAGAACTGAGATGGTCAAGTATGTGAGAGAGATGATGTTATCAGGTGGAGTGTTATTACCCACTAGAGGCGTTATTGGAAAAAAAATCAAAAGATGTTATTGGAGTCAAAGACATCAAGCTCACAGTAAGGCAGACAAGGAGAAAAGAAGGAGACAACGGTTTCTCAATAAAAGGAACTGTCTAACAATGGTAGGATTATACTATTTTCCACTTTCATACTCAAATGCCTTAGATCAGAAGAAAGTGCACGCTTGTTAAGTATACGGATGTGGATTCATTTTTCAAGGGAAGAGAGTGGATTCAATACCAAATGTCTTACAGTAAAGTTACATGGAATGTTAGCTGGGTAGGAGGTAGGGTTCATGACTGGAAAAATAAACCCCCTGTGAGGAACAAGATAAATTTATTCTCCAGGGCCTGGTTGTTTACAGCCAGTAGGTTAAGATAAGACAGGGTTAGTGAGAAATTTGAATTCAACTGCCTAGCACATTGAGCACAGTGCTTGTGTACATTATGTGTGCTTGCGAATCTAATGATTGTTGTATCACTAGCATGTGCAATCCCATGATTACTGTGACATCAGTATGACCTTAAACTCAACACCAGTTCTCTGTGGTGTCATGTTCTATCCATTTTAAAGTACACAGAACACGAGCAACCCAAGAATGTTGATAGATTCTGGAAAAACCTCGCTTTACAGTTAATGAAGTGCCGCTGACCAATTGCTATTATTATATAATTAATCATTATCATTTTGTTAACAAATCACTGTTTCTTTTTTCCACAATGGTTTCAATATCAATGTCTCATAAAAGTACAAAAATGTTAACTTCCAGGAAAAGAGTTGGGAAGTAAGGAAAGCATTGGAAAGAGAAGAGTTGAAGATATAAAGGAACTGAGAAGTACGATTGCCCCAGTGGAAGCAAAGGAAGTGGTAGTCTACAATTCTGGGGATGAGGACGTATGCTCTGATCTTCTTATGAAATGAAAGATCAGTTTGGAGAGGGGCAGGGAAAACACAGGGAAAATCAACGAAGGGGAAGTCGCCTGCTGGCTCTACTTAATGGTAAGGCATGCAGCCAACAAACGTCTGTCAAAGACCTGATAGAGCTGGCAAAAGAGAATATTCCGAAGCCAGCAGCCACGCCTCCATCAGCTAGTCTGACCCCTCTGAGATGCTACAAAACATCTACTGATGATGCAGCCTTATGTGCACAACAAAAGAGGGGCAAGCTAGCTTTAACTTGAAAGCCTCAGACAAGCATATAAGGTAAGTTATCTGTGGGCCCATCAAGTGAATGCAGCAACCTCATAGTGGCTGCTGGGGCACTGTGCTTCTCACTGGTGGAGACCGAAAGTGGTTAATCTACTATTATTGACTCGCCACCGTTTCTCTTTCAGGAAGAATTAACTGATTAGGGACAACATAGGGAGGCTAAATGTGTAAGAAACAGCAATACAGACCTGCCAACCCCTGATAAAGGAGAATCTGGAGACCTGTGAAAAAAAGAATTGGAGATTCTACAAAAAGTAATGAAATTCTGTTGTTCCTGATCTAGATTAAAACAGGCACTAGAATTCCCCACGGAATATCCATTTTTATTCAACAAGGTAACATTTCATTTCAGAAAAATATTTTCCAAAAAACTGTGAGATTGGGAGTCTCGTGGGGCCGTGAGAAAAGTAAAAAAAATCATGAGAGTCAAGGCAGAATCGTGAGAGTTGGTAGGTCTGGCAATAAAATGAGACTTATTTTTGTCAATTAAAGGATCCTATATAGGTACCGTCTAAATTATTCTTTGGTTGCGTTTAAGTGTTTTGCTGTTTCTTTTACTACAATTAGTAAAATCGTAAATGATTCAGTGTTTTGAAATTGTCCTATAGTGCAATTAATTGTAAAAATGGTTTATTATAAGAACATCCTTGGAAAAATAGGAAACAATAAGCCTTAGCATAATTTCTTGGGTAAACAGAGTGCCTGATTGGACATGAAATTCAAATGCAGAGAGAAAAATACTGACATTTGTGGTCTATCTGCAGTCCTAATTCTGATTATAGTATTATCCTCCATTATGAATGAGTGCTGACTCACATATTAAATTAACAGGGATGCTTGGTTCTCATTGAAGTGTTGGATTTGCAGGTTTTGATCCAACCTCGTTCCCAGGTTCTGTCTCCTTTCCATCAAGAGACCCTGGTTGGTCTGGTCATGTAACTCCTAGAATATGGGACGGCTAGAAGAGAACCCTGGGAATGGTGTTAGTTTTAATCTCATAGAGCGTGTTTAGGACTAGCTTCCCCCGCAGGCATTTTTAGGGGAGCTCGTATTTCTTCCCTCCCCACAAACGCCTGCTCAACGGAAAACAACATTCCTTTCTCATTGTTTTATTTGCGTGGTAAGTAACCAATCAACAGTGGCACCCAGTGGTAGATATTGTCTTCCAATTGACCAATTAGAACAAGCGTTCTAAATTTTCGCGCGAAAGATTTTGACGTGCGCTGCGGGTGCTGCGAAGATGGAATAGAGCGATTTCATGTATAATGGAGAGTTGTAACGATGGCTGAAACCCCGAAAAAAATTATTGACTCCGAATACAAGTGTTTTTTGTGTGACGCTTTTACTCATTCATCGAGAGTTAAAATCTTCGGTAAAAGCGGACTTGATATTCCTCGCCTGATAGAGTCGGCAGTCGGAGAAAATTTGGAAAAATATGAGAACTCTGGATCCCAAATGTTCATTTGCACTAAATGCTACAAAAGACTCCTGCGACTTGAAAAAGCCAAGAAGAATTTAGAGGGCATAAAAGAGGAGATCTGTGGCATTTACCAGTCCATAAATCGCAGGGTGAAACGGCAAATAACCGATGCAAATGTGAGTGAAAATATCGCACCTCACACGACAACAAAGCCATCTTCAGCGGCGAAATCTCTGAAGTTTACCGAGTCATCGACAACAGCAACTAATGATGACTTCCCTACCACATGTACTTCTTCTGACAGTGGCCCAGCTGAGGTTTCTGAAAATTTTTTGGCATGGAAATCACCACAGTATTCGGGAGCCGTTATAAGACAAACATTTGGCGCTCCACTGCTATCATCAACTCCAGTTTCCTCCACACAGAAGACATCAAACCAAAGCAAGGCTTCTATCGAAAACACCACTGTCAAGCTTTCTGTTAGCTACCCGAGTAAGACTGTGAATAAGACATTGCCAAAAGACTACGAAGCACTGGGGAAATCTCTTGTTCATGGCCCGCCTTCGCGTATCGCAACTGCCGTATTGAAGTGTGCTCCTCTCACCCATCTTGTGATCGAAAAAGTTCTTCGTCTACTCAAGGCAGAGGTAGGAGATCTTTGCTCCAAAAAGAACCCTTCATCTCTAAGGAACTGTACAAAAGAGGCCCTGATCAATTTTGACCTGGAGAAATTGTGTAACGAGTGGAAAGAAAGGGCACCTCTATTTTACTCCTTCCTTTTGACGGTCACTAGTGGAAAGAGTCAGAAATCTACAACTTGGTTTCCAAGTATGGCAGTGGCTGGGTCAATCCTCCTTAAGCAGAGAAATCCCCAGATGAACGCCACAGCAAGCGCCTTGAGTTTAGTACTCAAAACAAGATCTACTGAGGTAAAAATTTGAAGTTACTGTCTTATTCGTGAAATGCAAATCTAAGTGTTACATGTAAAGTGTACATTGTTACATGTTGTAGGTCAGAAATGTTTAGCTAAAGTTTGACTTATCTGTGGTGTTTTGTTATGTGGTTATGGAGTAATTAATCGGTTTCATAACTTCAAGCGGTGTTTCACTGTTTTAAAATTTTCTTTGAAGTTAAAATTATGAAATAAAAGGATTACAGGAAATGACTGGCTCTTCTTTGGTAACAATGCATATTGAACTCTCGTTGCTTCACCTTTCTTGCCATAACCTTGTAAGCTTATGTGTTATTCATTTGTAATTGTTTCACAGGCCGCACTGGATAGGTTCAGCAAGCTGAAAATAACTTGCAGCAATACCAAAGCACTCAAAGTAATGGATGTTATTGGAGAAAATCATGACAAAGTACTGACTGAGAACAAAACAAGGATTGCTAAGGAAATGAAGGCAATTTCTGATGCAGAGTTGGAGCATATCAGCAGTGGTACTTGTAGAAGGGATCCAAGTGTCATCCTATCAACTTGTGAAACTTGTCAGACAATTAAAGATGCTAAAATCAATTCACATCCTGGATTCATTATAGCATTTGACAATATTGACATTCACTTGGAGAGAAGGGAAATGACCATGTCTGCCCAAAACAGAGACATTCATTGGGTGAATCATGAAATGGTGCAGAACAGGGTCTCGGGAAACAATCTCCAGTCCCAAAACCCTAAGGCACCCATTGAAGATGTTCCAAATATTACATTCCTACCTGATGTGAATGACCACAACAAACAGAGGCTGAACTATATCATTCTGATTTCAAGGATACTTGTGAGCTACTTTGATTGTTTTGCACCCTTCCAAGATGTTTGTGTTTATAACATACCTCATAAATACAGCATGGAACAGGCTACGCAATCTGTTAAGGTATTAGAGAAAAGAATTTATGGGATGATGGGTTGAGATAATTTTCAAAAAATAACCTGACAAAGTGCAGAATATGGTTGCTGTTTCAGTGTACCCAACATAAGGAGTAATATGTGAAGAAAAAAAAACTTGTGGCAGGGGAGGGGGTAATTTATTAGTAAGTTATTGTTCAATATGCACAGAAATGTTTGCCTTTCAAATTCAAATTGGCATCAGTTACACACATACATACACACACACACACACACACTATACAACCCACTTTATTATTTTAACTACAAAATAGGTTATTGTACAAGGCAGAAAAATGAAAGTTTATAGACTGTGAAAAAGTATCATAAAAATTTGGATGTTTATGTATGAAAATTGAGGGAATGAATGGGTTAACATATTTTGAGAGTGTAACATTATGTTTCCTATTGAGGGGAGCAAACACCTTGCACCCGAATGCCTGTTATGTTATGGCTGTTAACATATATTTCCCCAAAAAAATTCAGTGAAGTGATAAAACCGTATTTACTAAAATTATTAGCTATAAAATGGGCTGGTACGTGATAAGAAACTTGCAAACTGTAGACCACTATAGCTATACCAATACAGTGCCGGATCCAGGCTTTGAGATAAGGGGGTGGGGGGAGTCATCCAGACCCTTAGATAAGGGTCCGTCTAAAAACGCCTGCGTCTCCCCCGCAAAAAATTTCAGCCCTTTGGGCCTCAGTTTGGTCGAAAAATAAGGAGGGAGGCCCCGGCCCCTCCCCTGGATCTGCCACTTTTTTAATACTTATTTTTAAGTAATGGTCCAGATAAGAAGGAAAGGACCAAAACGCAGTGAACACGTTGGAATGCAAAAAGGTGCTAACTTTACTATTGTCTCTACTAAGGTTCTGATTGGTTTAAACATCAAATTTTACGAAATCTTCGCAAAGCAGCATGTACATTAATCCCTTTTTTTCTATCCAACTTCCTTATAACAAAATTTCGTCTGAGTCTAAGTAACACAGAAATCGTATGTGCGGATCATGTAAAATTGTGAACATTTCTTGGCCATTGTTTGCAACTCTTGTGATTGGTCGAAATGTTTTAACACAAAAATACACCCTTTAAAAATGGAGTTTAAATACATTTTCTGTCGTAAACAGCCTTTTTGTAGATTTATGCACTCTCTGCGTAAAAATGAAAACATTTCTATGTGAGGAAAGCGTATTGCGCCACAACAAAAGAAATTGCTTCCCTTCTTACCTGGATCATTACTCAATATCATATGCATTCTTTAAGTTGTAAGTTTGCTTTTATTGTGGATAATATGATATTTTAATATCAATTACAGGTTCCCCTTGGTGTTATATTCAAAGATGAGAATGTAAATGAGGATATGCTGGCCATTTTACAGAAATTTCACTCCTACCTCCCATCAACAGCCAATGGTCAGATCGATGGACAAATTTTCACTGGGGATCAGTTGACCGTGGAAAGGTCTGTGAATGTCATAGCCTCTGTTGCTAATGGGTTCACCCCTAAAGAGCGACTTGAAGGTATCAACCTGCAGATTGGAGACTGGCATGCTGCTGTAAAGCTTCTCTCGGTAAAAGTAATTTTTTAATTATTCATGAACTTTTAATATAAACAGAGACATCAAAATTCAGTGTGACATTAACAGAAAAATAATAATTTGTTAAAACTTGTACGGTTGTAAGGGACCAATAATACAAAACATCAAAAAGGGCAACAGCTGCAATTATACCTTCTAACCTTTTAATTGCCTAGAAGAAATAATAAAACAACAATCTAACAATCTAGTCATTTTAACAGTAGTCACATTTTTCTCTCACAATTCTTCCCAAAAAGGGTTTCCATCTACAGACCTAATTAAGATGAAGAAAGCAAGTTAATGCCACTGGACTACTTTGCTGGGGAAGGAGCAAGCAACCAATCGTTTGAGTATTTATGAGCTACTGAGGGTTTGAAACCCTTATTTTTTAATGTGACAGTTACAGAATGACCGAGTGAAAAGTGACTTATCAAAGGTTTTGATTGAATCATGCGGTTGTATAGGAGGGTTTTACTCTAAACCTCAAAAAACATCATGAACAACATAAATATTCATTCAATGTTATCGAGTTGCGAGGAAAAAACCAATAAGAGATGTGAGAAAACTAAATTGCAAACAGCAGTATAAATTTGTGGTTTGAAGGGTTGCTGAACTTTATTGTGATTGAACTTTATTGGTCACTACATAATCAACTTTCCTCGAATTTTTTTGGTGTTCATGGTTTTCTGATATTGACTGTAAGGGCCAAACTTTTTAAAGGAAAGTATATGTACAGTAAACTGGAATTTACAGGTGGGACTCAAACCAATTAACAGTCTTGGATGTTTTTTTTAATATTTATTTATTCCCAAAACATTTTTTTCCTTAGTTGATCTTCAAGAGATTCTTCTCAGCAAAGAGTGATGGTGACTTGTGTACATTATATGCTGACAGGACCACCATCAACCGCAGAAATGTCACTGCCGACCCTGCTAAAGCATATCGTGCAGACAGAGATTTCTTTCTTGTTGTGGTTCGGTCAAGAGTAATAGCTGCAGCAATGGAGATTCTAGGAATGGAATCAAAGTCTAGTCAACCATCCAAATGCCCTGTCCCTCCAGATCTTGGCAACATGAGCAAGCACACCAAGCTTCGGTATCTCAATAAGGTAGCAGCAATGGTTGTTGATTCCTTTGTATTTGACCAATGCTCTCTCAACAACATTGTTGACAAAATTATCACTGCACAAGAGAAAGATGACGCTACCAACAACCAACAACTAACAGAAGATGGAAGATTTCCCTGCAGATTCCCTGGTTGTAATTACTCTTTCCAGTATGATGGCAGAAGTAGGAGGAGGCATGAAATGACACACAACCCACCTCCAGATGTTCCAGCCAACCTTGCTGAGCCAACAATTAGTGATCAAGCCAATTCGAATAAGTCTGTGACTACTGAGCAAGATGTCAAGTCAGATGATGTGTACAATTACAACTGTGCCCTGTTGGCAGATGGTCTATTTTTTATGAACTTTCTTGATGCCACAGCAGAAGGTGATGGTGCAAGAATGATGCGACAATACAAGTATTTGCTTCTCTACTGTAGGGCGGATGGTGCAAGCAGTACTAAATATGCCCTTGAGTGCCTGTATCAGTCATTTCTTGTGAATGCAATGTTGAGTCCAAGGGATGCAGAGCGTTTCATTTGGAATAGGACAGTCAACAACAGTGGTAAACCTGGTAAGAACATTGCCTTAGACCTGGATGTGGAGCACAGCAACAACTTTGTCAAACAAGCTTTCAAGCACTTAGGACCAAACCTTACAGAAAATGCTGTGTCAAGAATTTGTAATGCTGAGAGTGGTGTTAGGAGTGTCCTGGACAAAATTGACCACAGCATCTGCCGAGCAGCTGGCTCAAGTGAACATTCACATAGATCCTTGGAGAGAGATCTTTCCCTCCTGGTGGACAAATGTCTTAGCAACTCAGTTTTTGACATGCATGACTCAAGAAGCTATGTCTGTTTCAGGAGCTTTGAAAGGGTTCCCTTGAAAAACCTTGACATGTCATCCATGTTCAATTGGATCAACAAACACAAGAAAAACATTCAGTCTGGTTTAAAGGCTAGATGACACTCTAACTGGGACTATCACAATTCTATGTTTTGGCTAATGTAGTTAACTGATAGAATTATTCTGGTAACTTTGGTTTGTAATAACCTAACATAATGCATATAAGTCCTCAGCTAATCTTTCTAAGGGGTTTTAGGAGGTCTTATACACAGAGAGCTTCATATCCAAGGAAGCTTAGAAAAAGCATCTTGAAAACAAACTATAGCTTTGCTGATCAAAATACGTTCTGCATTATTGGTTTTGGGTTAAGCTTAAAATATCGTAATAAATGCAGTACATACAAACTAAAGAGAGGACTTATATCCAGGGGAGGCTTGTAATAGACCATTTAACAGTTGTGGACTTAGTACCCTAGCCTTCGAGTAAATGTGGGGCTGAGGTTGATCTTGTTTTGATATATGTACAAACCTCCTTTGCTTTGTTATGGAAATTGTCCTCGAAAAATACTAATGAGCATAAGTGTCAGATAGTATTCATAACCAAATTATTTCAGAGATAAGAATTTTAATCTTGCAAGAGAAATTTTCCAACACGTGGATTATTATCATGGAAAATGTGCATCTTTCTTTCCTGACAGTTATTTTATAAGTAGAGACAAAATAAAATAGAGTTTATAAACAACAATGAGCAAAACTATCATAAAAATTTGGAAATGGGGAACTGGGTGTTAGTCAAGAAAACCATTATCTACCGTAGCAATAATATTCAAAAAAATTCATAAGGTGAAATGGTTTGGTGTTTCATTGGTTTAAAATAAAATAGTACATGATACTGCTACTGGATGATACAAAATTTTTCCTCTCATGTTGTTGTTATGGAAATTGTCGTTGAAAATACTAATTAGCATAAGTGCCAGTGCAGTGCCAGATAATATTCACAACCAAATTATCACTACTAGGAGTATGTATGTGAAACACCATGTGAAAAACGTGTGAAAAATGTCCTATTTTCACACTCTTTTCACACATTTTTCACACGTTTTTCACACACTTTTCACATGCATTTCACACACATATTTCACGTGCATCTGAAATTTTGCATAGTGAAATATATGTGAAAAGGGTGTGAAGTGACGTCATCCCTTTCACACATATTTTCACATACACTTCACATGGGGTTTCACACAGGCTTTCACATGTAAATCCTCATTTAAATTCACACATATTTTCATACACTTCACATGGGGTTTCACATGGGGTTTCACATGTACTTAATCCTCAATGAATGGCAAAACATCTAGAATTTCACATGCTACTAATTCACACATTATTTTCACATACACTTCACATGAGGTTTCACATGAGCTTTCACATGTAAATCCTCAGAGATCGGAGATCATGAATGGCAATAGAATTTCACTACCCTGCGAGCAGAGGTTTGTTTACACGTAAACAAACCAACTACGCGACAGACAAGCCACCCAAACAACTTCGTAAATGCTAAAAGCCATGCAAGAGAGAAAACTCTGCTTGCAGGGTAGAATTTCCCATACCACTTCACACAAATTGGGTATGCTGTTTCACAAGCAAATATTCAGTAAATCAACTAGCTTAGATCAATTTACACACAAATTTACATTTGCACTTTCCGCTTGCAATAAATTTGTCTGAAGTACTGTCAACTGCATGCATATAGTCACAAACAACTTCAGGTTTATAGCCTGATCTGTTGGTTTATTTATAATTTTACGGGTATTTTCAGAAGAACTTGATTTATATAAAACTGGCAAAAAGTGAAAAGCAAACTGGATAGAATTGATTGGCAAACATATTATAAACACAGTGAAACTCAGTTCAACTGACTCACATGTCCCAAAATGAACTTAAATGTAAATTTAAGTTACTCAAAAAAGGCACATAAGGCTAATGGAAACATCAATGTCTAATCCTGTTTATTTGTCAATATTTATTGCCTGGAGGATAATAATAAAAACAAAACTTTCTATCATGCTCAGTTTTTATACCTTTAATTCCTACATCAATAAAATAACTAATAATATACTAATTTTTGGTTAGAAATATTTCTTAGAAATTGTAATAATTATGATAGTGAATGACATTGTGGCCAATCTAGAATTTCCACCTATTAAGGAATACCAAGTTACAGAAAAGCAATCTAGCACTCAATGTCAGTGAAAAGACAAAGTAAATAAACAACTTTGAAAAATACAAGCATGTTTATGGAAAAAAAATAATGCTAACTGACTGCTTCTTTCAAAGTGGCTGAACAGCTTTCTGAACTGAAGGTCCACACATCAGACTAGATAGAGCTGCCTTTTATTTTTGACCTTATTGCAGATGTATGAATATTATGAATCGAAGCTCAAATAAACAAACCTACTCAAATTTTATAGGTTTAGTTCTACTCTCAAGTCATTATAAATTAACTGGAAACTTAATTGCTTCCAACTTGTAGTATACACTGCATGCATATCGGAAACTTATGCTATTTCTTCTCCTATTTTATTTAACATTGGTCTTGACAAGTCTGCCACAGCCTACTAGCGTCAGAACATAAAATTTTCAGAGTATTCCATTGACGATTTGCAACAAAGAGTACAGTTATTTCTGCAGTAAACAAAAAGGAATCAATCAATGGCATATCTGTGCATGCTTCTTAAATTAAGATGTATCTTTGAAAGTTTAAGCTTACGCAAAGTTATTAGAAAACCAAAGTAAGCTCTTGTTACGAACCACGATATCAAGAAGAACATACCTTTCTGCGATAATCCAGCCGAGTTGCTGACTTGGAAACATGCTTTTTGCGAAGAATTTTGCAGTTGATCACTGTCTCTCGAAAATAACATGGGTATTATTGAAAGACAGTCTTTCTATCTATCCGAAAGTAACGAAAATATTCTGTTTGCATCGTTGTGTTGCTTGTGAAGTCCGCGTGAATTTGAACTATTCGACGGAACTTCATTTTACAATTTTCTATTGGTTGAAAAGCCACACGTGACATTGTAAATCAAATCGCGCATGCGCTAAAACCACGGGGAAGCCTGGGAAACAACAAACATGGCGGCTAATCTTGCGATGGAGAAAGTGCAATCGTTTGAGTCGAAAAAGCGGTTATTTTCAGCATTGATTAGAATATTCCAGCGCATTTGAAGTGTTAGAAGCAAGAGAAAAACTAAACATTGTTCCTTCAAGTTGGGAAACCTTTCAGAATTTAAGGAAATGCTGGCCTTCACTACATGAATCTAAGTCAGGCGACTAAATACGTGTTGTGTACGTTGTTCATGTTGGATAAGCTCAGGTACGGAAAGCTCATTGAACCAAAGACAACTTGAGCAAACCAAGAGCATGCCAGTTGTTTGCTTCAAGGAATCATTAGTTGAACGAACGGTATCAAAAGAAAACTTAAAAAGCATGCAAAGCAAGGAACTGTTGCATGTTCAAGTGGACTTTCAAACGTTACAACGAGGAACGTTACAGTAAGACACAAAACATTCATAAAGTGTAGTTACATATGTCGTATATGTTAGCAAAGTAAGTTTTCTGATGGAGTAATAAAATTAAGTCCGTTTTGCCCTCAATGAAGATCTGTTGAAAGAATGGTTTAATTCTCAGGATTTAGCCCTCCCCACTTAACAAAAATCATGGTGCACATCTTTCTGGGTGGAAACTTAAGTGGTAAGATACACAACCCACAAATTTAGATGAGACAGTTGACAAAATACATAAATTTATATAGCATGTTCTAGCAAACAATGAAGACAATGATATTTGTAAAGATGCACATGTGGATCGGATGCTCTAAAGGTTTTAATCAAGCCAAATATAATGAAGAATGTACAGTGTATTCAGGGGTTTCAAAATGTTTTGAAGTAGGCGCCAACTCTGGAAAAGCAGGCGGCTGTGACAATCGAGATTGTTTGTCACAAGCTAATTGTTATGACCAGCGCAGCCAGCGATATACAGTCGAGTAGCCGGGAGAACCCTAGTCTCCGGCTTGTTTTGAAACCCCTGTGTATTTAATAATAATTAATACAGTTATTGACTGAGAGATCTGGTTGCAAGCTAGATCATGAAAAGAGCTTTGAATGTTAATTCCAGTCTGCTGCTTTACAAGAGGGCCCCTCTGGGGCTTGGCACTTTAGTATATTGGGGTTCGCCTTTAATGGTTTTGATGATGATGATTTGTAACAGCAAGTTTGTTGTGATCACTTGCCTTAAAGGTCTGATGCATTAAAGTATAGTGAATTTTCTAGATTAGTAACTTATCAAATCTTATTCTTCAAAAATTCATGACCCTCATAGTCAACTTACTTTGATATTTATCAGCTATGAGCCATAGAATGCTAGATGTGGCATGGCATGAAATTTAATTTTGCAGTTTTTATGAGCCATGAAATGCCTTTCATGGGGTATTCACTAGAAATTCATGGCATTTTCATAAAAATATGGTTCATAGTTGTTGCATTTTACAAGCCCTGAAAAAAATTCACATGCTCACTCTGACATGCCTGAAAGTGTTCACATGCATGTGAAAAATTTCACATGCATAGCATCTACCATGCATGTGAAATTTGAAGTTCACATGCATGACAAAATTGTTTCACATGTATGAAAAGATTTCACATGTAATAAAATGCATGGAAAAAAAGTTCACACATATGACAAAAATTTTTCACATGTATTACAAAATTTCACACGCATATCAAAAAGTTCACATGCATGTGAAATGCTGATGTGGTGAACTTGTATTTTTTCCAACATTGATTTCACATGGTTCCTTTTTTTCATACACTTTTCACACCCTTTTCACACGATTTTCAAACACATAGCCCTAGTAGTGTATGTAAGAGATTAGAAATTTAATCTTACAAGAGAAATTTTCCAACACATGGATTATTATCATGGAAAATGCGCATCTTTCTTTCCTGACAGTTATTGTATAAGTAGAGACAAAATAAAATAGAGTTTACAAAAAACAATGAGAAAAACTATCATAAAAAACTGGGAAATGGGGAACTGGGTATTAGTCAAGAAAACCATTATCTACCATAACAATAATATTTAAAAAAAAAATCATAAATCATAATCATAAATCATAATCATATATGCAAAGAGAAATTTTGTATCTGTGCATTGCCATGTAATAGGCAGATTTAGCAATGACAATGCGACGGCAGTGACAATAGCATGCACAATGTAAAACTCTAATATCCTCATGTTGTATTGAAAAAAATTACTAGCCTACATTTACATTCTTGAGTGATGCAAGAGCAACTGGAGATACATCAGAACAATCTAACGACTTCTGTGCTGCATCCTGATAGGTACTGTCCATTTCAGAAAAAGAAAAACTGTTTGTTAGCTTGTTTAAGAGCTCCTCATCTTCAGCAAGTGCAGCCCACTCTCCTAGTAATTCATCATCATCATATTCATCGTCACTTTCAACCCCTGTATTATGTAGCATATTTAAAACACTATAGTCGATATCACCAAAAACATCACTGAGAACATCCAGAATTTTTTTTGCATGACGCATGTCCCAGATTTCAATACTTCTCAGGACATCCTCCAAAGAAAAAAGTGTTTCGCAATTAATGACAACTTGCTCAATCTGCAGTTCGGAAAAACCCAACAAACTACTCAAATTGGTTAAACTCTTTACATGGCCAAAAGCTGACTTTCTCAATAGTTCCATGACAAGGGACTTGTGGTACTTTGTTAATAAGTCTTTCAGTTGTTTTTTTTCTGAGTCTTTCACTTTCCTTTTCTCTTGCAATGAGGAGTCAATGTTCTCCTTGTCAGAAATTATAAACAAAGTGTAGGTGGAACACTCTTCACTACTACAGTCACACCTTTTGGCACAGTTATCACAGCAAGTGTGAAGGGGGCCAGAAATTGTAAAATTACCACTGCCAAAATGTTTTAGAAGAGTTTTCCTCCTGCACTCTTTTGTTTTGAGGTATTCCTTAATGTCCCTCTCAACATGATTTAGCATCAATCCTTTGTATAGCAGATAGGAGAAACTTGCCTTGCCATCACAACCCGCACGACCAGTCTCCTGAATAAATGCCTCCACATTTTTTGACGGACCAAAATGAATGGTTCTGTGGACCCCCTTACAATCAACTCCCATCCCAAATGCAATGGTGGCAACCAGAAGAAGGATAGGTCCATCTTCTTTCCGAAAAGATTCTAACACAGCTTCTTTATTGTCATCTGGTGTGCATGAGTGTAACATCTCCAAGACAGGGCATTTGGAACCCTTCTCATACATGCAATGACCGAGCATATATTTAACTGTGGCATAAATAAAGGAGCACTGTTTTATTGTCTGACAATATACAATTGTTTTTTCTTTCTTTCCTTGTTTTACCTCTTCAACAATCCAATTAAAGTAGTCCTGTACATCACTATCATTGGGCATGTAAGTTACAACGTATGTCACGTTGCCTTTGTTTGGACTATCAGCAACCTCACATACATTTCTCAACCTCAGCACATCAATGATGGTCTTTTTGGTTTCCTCCGTGGCTGTTGCAGTCAGAGCTATCATTTTTACTGATGGAGCAAGAGTTCTTATTTCATGCAAGTCTGCGTACACTGAACGGAAAGCTGTCATCTTGTTACTTGTAGTTGTTCCCCTGAGAAGAAAATCAGGAAAATAACATTGTTGGCAGCCTGCAACTTACTAGCCCCTCTCACGGGCATTTTCAGGCGGGCTCTTTAATATTTTGTGCAGAGCTATTATAACTCATTTTTGAAAATAATTTTACTTAGTAAAATATAATGATCAGGTTGTTTACCTATGTTTGTACACAAGATATTAGCCTGAAATATTTTCTCTCAACACTGGCTATCAGGTGAAGTTGATATTCAGTCATAACAATGATAATAACAATAATAATAATGTCATTATTTTCTGTTTATATTGATAATTTGTGATCATTTATTTCATGTATTGAATTATTTCTGTTGTATGGTATACTGTGCACAGTACGGTCGATTGATCGGGATACATCTTGTTTATTTGTGTCAGCTTGGACTACATGCTAGGTATACTTAAGACAAATGAATTTTCAAAATGTGTAAATTGTTTAAGCTAAAAGTAGGCTTCACTAGCAGAGTATAAACTTTCAAACTGAGGTGTTATCAAACTCCAGTAACTAGACAAATAAAAAACACGAAATTATTCCATTTTCATTCTTACCATTGTTTTATAACATGTGCTTCGTCTACTGCAACGCAACATAACTTTTCCGAGTAGACGGGACTTGACAAAACCTGTCTCCAACGTTCAACTTTCAACCACGACTCTGGAGTGCCAAAAACAACTGAATACGCTGCTTTTCCCACTGTTTCCGCCTCTCCTTCCTGTAAATCGCTAAGGCTAACCGAAGATATGCCAATACTTCGCAAAGATCGGACTTGATCTCTCATTAAATTTACCAGAGGAGACACAACCACCACTATGTGACCTGAACGAGCGGTGAGGCTATCGAACACCGTAGGTAAAGCTTGATAAACAAGAGATTTGCCATAGCCAGTCGGCAAATTGACGAATATGTCGCTTCTTCCCTTCACAAATTCAGAAATTGCTTTTTTCTGATATGGATTTAAACACGAAATCGTAAACCTGGAACACACAGTACTGAGAGCTCCATCAAGATCACTCGTGTTCGCCATATTGTTTTATCTGTCCTCCGGCCGTTCGCGCGAAAAGCTCCCTGGGGGTTGCTCTGCGGTCAAGGTCAACTTTCCAGAATTTGGAAAGTTCAATGTGATTGGCTTAGCGTGGGAAAGGAATGTTGTTTTCCGTTGAGCAGGCGGGGGAGGGAAGAAATACGAGCTCCCCTAAAAATGCCTGTGGGGGAGGCTAGTTAAGGACAAATAACTAATAATTTTTACCCATACTGGCACTGCTTGAGATTGTGGGTAAAGAAATTAATGTCCATGCAATTTCATAAGGATCCAATTCAACCCTGAATCAAACCCGCATTGTTCTCTTTTAGCGATTTCACTCTAATTTTTAATATATGTGAGCATCTTGTCATTTTTATGTGGGATTTGAATTCCCCCATCACTCTGGTTTCACTTGGAAAGGCCAACGAAAAAAATAAAGACGGGTGAATGTCTAACGGTTAATTGGGAGGGAAAGGAAGTTTGGGGCACAATCTTAAAAAGGCACGGTAAGCGGTGGTCTGATGGTTCCTCCAAATTCTCTTAAAAGCGACTTCAAGGTATCTAATGTTGGCAAATTGGAGCATGGGTTATCAAAGAATTTCCAGCGTAACCACTTATTTGTACAAAAGCTAAAAATTTTCAACATTAGATAATTTACGGAACATGATATAGAAGCACCTGTTTCATTAGGGAATCTCCATACACGATTGATATTAGTTTTACGTATTTATACAATGGAATATATTTCCCTGTATTAAACTAGTATGGTAGATAAAAGTTCTTAACCTACAGACGATGGTTGCTCAAGTACCGTCTTATGTTCAAATGTGAGCACATAATAGAGTTTATTAGACAGCCCTTTTGAATGGTTTCCTTTTTTACAGGTTCATGCAAGTGAAAATTCACATCTGAAAGAACACTGTGGGGTGTACGCGTTAAGTAGCCAAACGCAAACAGAATTTAAACAGCAGTGTAATCATGATCATGATGAAAGGTGTGAGGAATGTAAAGCCGTAGACTCAACAATCAACACTGTTGGGTATTGAGCGACTGATGTAAGATGCATTTTACCCCAGTGGGGTTAAAAGGTGCCGATTTTTTTCCCGTTTAAAGCCTACATGCACAGCACCAAAATGAAACCTAATTACTTTTAGCTCTACAAGAATTTAATTTTAGCAACAGCCGTTGGAAGTCTATTTGGTAAACAAACCCAGTCACTACGCGACAGTGTGTTTGGCGTGCAGTAATCAGTTAGTTCGGAACGCTAATTGTTGTCAATTTCATTTAACTACGTGAATTTAATAGCATAGATTAGAAATCAATGAATATTTTCAGATAAATTACATTGCAAATCTCTGGTACCGTCAACATTTCTTTTTTTGAAAAAAGAAAACATGAAGGCCACGCAATGACACAGAAACCTGACAGATAACGCTTGATTGCATTACAGATCGTGATAAACAAGGAAACCGTGACTTAAAAGAGTCTCAAGTTTATAATTTCAAGTAAGTTCTTTCATTCAATATTTCCAAGTACTTTTCAAAGGGTCTGTAAAAAACCATTGGCTAATTTTAAGGCAACTAAGGCTAATTTTTTAGGCCATTTAACTTCCCTTGCGATCAGGATGAAGTTGAGTCCTAAATTTTCTGTGAGAAAGTTTCGTTCAAATTAGTTGATCAAGTGGGGAACTGGGAAATTCTGCCATCCTATCAAGATAATGAAGATCTACTTCGACTTAATTCCTCTGTTTGCACGGATAATTTGTGACAGGATTCCTGCATTCAAGTCTTTCAAAGGTGTTGTTCTCAGGCATATTCCCCACAAACACACTGGTGTAACGAACAGAAAATGAACGGGTTATTTGCCATTTTTAACCAGTTAAGCAACATTTCATGGACGAAATTCTCTAAGACATATGCCTCATTTTTTGTTCCTCATTATTATTATTATTAGCATTATTACATATTACGATTATTTTTATTTGAAAGCAGTGAGGCAGCAAAAAGACTTGAAATTAACTCGTTTAAAAAAGCTGCAAGTGCGGCCAAGTTTTCTACAGTCTTAACCGGGTTCTAACCAGATTATGCAAACCAGCAAGATCAATCGATTTTCTTAACTAGGTTAGGTTTTTTTCAACCACCTTGCAAGGTAGTTTAATGCAGGTGGTAAAGGCCACAATACCTCTTTGCGCTTGAGGTTAGAACACTTAGAACACTTAAATAATCTCTTGAAGTAGATCCTAAGGTGTCTGCGTGTCAATGTGATGGAAAAATCAGCTAAATGATACAGCTAAGCGATTTCAATAATTAGAACAAATGCTGCACAAGATTGATGCAGAGATAGGTGTCAAGGAGCCTCCTGGGCACAACAACACAGCCAATAATGACCCAGGATTTTGCAGCCCTTATGAAAGAAATACACAAAAGAGGGGGCTTTTCTCTTTCAACCCATCTTCTGAAAGTAACTATGACAAATTTCCACATTTTCAAAGGAACATATTAAGTGGGCTGGACTTCAATCAGCTTAACAAGTGGTTGAAGAGTCACAAGAAAGACATGTCCTATCTTCAAAAGTGAAGGACTTGGAAGGTGGAATGACCTGTTTGAATTACAAATGGACCCTTGATTCAGAAGAAAATAATGAGAGAACAACCTATTCTCAAGCATGTTTATTTTCAAGACCGTTTAAAGGCCCATGTTCACCCAAACAGCATTGCACGCTTGTGTTTTTGTTTTGAAATGCATCTTCTGCCAACTGCAGTGTTTTGATTGGCTTCCACTTTTGAGGAGCGTTGCATGACGATGCTAAAAACGACTGCGAGGGAGACCACCTTTCTTCACACTTGGCCGAAGCATAAAGAGACAGTATCAAAGAGGCCAGTAAGACTTTAATTCTTTTCCAAATGGAGGAAGATAAATTGCCAACTTCGTTAACGGTCACCGGAGAAAGCAGTTCAAGATGTAAACTGGTAGTGAATGCGTATGGATGCTTTGTTGAGTCCGATAAACACAACGAAGTTCATAAAATTACGAAACGTCTAAGCACCGGGTGAGATTTTCTTGAAGCCGGATTCGACTGTGAAATGTTTTGATTCCTTAATATACCATTTTGTGTTAATTCTTATTAGGAAGCTTAGGTATCTGTTCTTGTAACAATGAGCGAGAAATTGTGTTTGCAAAGCATCAAATCAGCACTGTGTACACTCTTGTTGCTGTAATCGCTGTGTTACACTTTCTTTAGGTTTTGCTAAGGATTGGTTTGCTAATAATAGTTCTTGCTACTTTAGAGCTTTAATCGTGATAGGCCAGAATATGCCAGATGCTAAGTTTACGTTAAGGATACCACTCGCTTCATAGGTTAAATTAAATAAAACATTGTTCATGTTAGATTGACTCGCTTGTTTTGCTTTCAACAGATTTCAACAGGACCTCTGTTTACAACTGAACATTCAATGTAGAAGGAACTCAGCAAACATGGTGTCTGTAGAATTTGCAGCCAAGAGCTTCTTTCCCATCTGTCCAGAGACTAAAAAAATGGATTCACAGAGACTAATGTATTTCGGTGACCCCCGTTAAAGCGGTCTTCCAACCGTACGTTTTGATGGCACTGCCATCAAAAGTTCTGCAGTGAAACAAACACTCAGAAACAAAACGGCTCTATACCAGACCAAAATATCCAAAAGATGCAAAGAAAAATACCAAGAGAGCCTGTTTAGACTTTCTTTTACACCAGCTTTAACGAACTGTGGAAGATTTACAAGGATTGACTCTACACACTGGAAGCAACGATTTTCAACTACGCGAAATGTGTTTTCTTGAGTACAGGGTGCGCAATGCATCTAGGGTGAACATGGGCCTTTAAAGCATTTCTGGTGTACTGTCAAAACATAAAATACACTGCTGTTAAAGGTTTTCCTTCAGCTGTAGCTTACTCGATGCCCTGGACAAATTTGGCACAAATCACCCCTGCTGCTACCCAATTCTGGCAGCAGGGTCGATTTGAGACAAAACCTGAAACTGAAATCTGTGCATGAATAGACGGTGTTTATTTAACTGCGTTGATTGGCAGGGCTAGCTGGATCAAAAATATGTCCAATATTCTAAATGGTGCATTTCAACAAAGTCAAAAATGCTTTCTCTAACAGAAGTAAGTTATTACTATAACTCAGAATCTGTGAAAAAGTCACTGTCACTGCCTTCGCTGCTATTATAGATTCCACCATATTCAAGGCCAAATGTCTCAACAAGTTGATTGTCAGCGCCAGTCAGTGTCTCATCATTAACCTCAAGATCTTCCAAAAAATCTCTAACCACATGAATGATGCTACAAGCATGCTTTTTTTTGGAAACAGGCAAATTCTCCATTATGTAATCTACATTAAAAATGTACTTACAATGGGACAGCACTGTCTTTATTCAGATTATCGCTAAATCCAGTTGTGCACTCAGGAAACAGGTAATAGACTGAGCACTTAGAGAAGAGTTCCCTTTGCCTGTCCCTGAACAATTCTTCAAGCAGTACCCTCTGTTGAAAGGTAGTCTTTCTTTTCTTCAAAGACTCTTTTGGTTGAACCCCTCACTTGAGAAATGTTTTGCGTAAACGGTATATCAATGTTGCACTTTAAAAAGAATAAGGTTAATAACTGACTTTATTTTTCAAACTCCATTTCACAATCTCTCTCTTAAAAATGGAAATCCACATGCAAATGAAGACGTAAAAGAATTGCTGACCAGAAGAAACAGAAGGTGGTCTGCAGCGAATTATGTTGCTCATTACCAAGTCAGCTGTCTAGTCGAGTTAAATCACTAAGTAATTAGTTCCTGAACCACACATTCATATGAGAAAGCAGGTTTAGCATGAAGAAAGTAAATTCATTATACTGCATTTATCTTTATTACTTTATCACACTTTAAACTTTGTTAAGAAATAGTTTACCAGTAATAGTAATATTGTGACATGTTTTAATGAACAGTGTTTTTTTGTGTTTTTTACCGTAAGTGTGA